TCCACCACCATTGTCACATTCACACTTAAACTCACAATGTACTCAACTCTTTCATTGCATGTGCTGGAGTTTGTTTGTTTCTTTTCTAAATAACACAACTCTGAACATCTTTAAACATTACATGGTACTACGTACGATCCTCCCACTGTAGATGTCCATTCACACCTTACCTGCTCACCCATCCTCCATAACTCCCAATGTCCTCACAATAAAATCGAACTCTCCAGTCTAGCCTACAGACCTTCCCGCAGCTCACAGCCTCACTCCCTCTGAGAACTCCTGACTCTCAGCTCCATAGAGTGGGGCAGCCTCTACTCTATGGGGACAGATGCTGCATGCCAGGTCATCTGTGACAAGGGTCACAGAGAGGGCGTTTTAGGAAACAAGAAATGAATGAAGTTGACACTCAAGGACCCCAGATGTGGGTGTGGGCAGTTTCAGACTCCTGATGTGGTATATGGCAGTTTCAAAGACTCCATTTGTGAGATGGGCAATTTCAAGGACACCAGATATAGTGTGGGCAGTTTCAGGGACCCCAGATGGGGTATGGGACACTTATGAGGACTCCAGATGAATTGTAAACAGTTTTAAGAACACCAAATGTTGTGTGGGCAGTTTTAAGGACTGTGTGTATGTGGGTGTGAAAAGTTTCAGAAACCCCAGATGTATGAATGTATGAATCAGCTTCAGGGAACCCAGATGTGGTATGGGCAGTTTCAGGAACCCCAGATATGGGTGTGTACTAGTTTGTGGGTCCTTTGAGAGACCCAGCCACGTGGCCTGACATGAACATATGGCAGGCACCCCCTGCTCGCCCACAGGCCACCAATAGTAGCTAACCTACAAGTACTAGAATGGCTCTTACAGCAACTATGGGGAGCAGGATACCTCCAGAGCATGTGGTGAGCCCCAAGAGCACCCACAAAACTGTGGCTTCATGTCCACTGTTGACTCCCCCAAGCATGACCAGATCTCCCAGGGTGGCCACGAGGGTTACGAGGACTCTTCTGGGAAATGGAGGCAGGAGGGGATTCCAAGGTTGTGGGAGGTTCAGGGAGTGGATATGATGCTTGGGACCCTAAGGGTGTGGGGGCAGAAGGTGTGTGAGGGAGTGGGGGCAGGAGGTGGGGGTTGGCCATTACCCGCAACCACCAGTTGGGAGTCACAGCTACCATGCTTTGCTGCTGCTGCTGTTGTTAAGATGCCCAGGAGCTGAACCCCTGCCTGCAGCCCTTTGGGGGCTTCTTGGAGTCCAGTGATGGGGCAGAGTGAGTCCAGAGCTGGAAGGGGGCGTGGAAGCTGGGGGTGGTGGTGGTTGTGAACTCTCAGGGGCCACAGGGACAGGGAGGAGCTAAGCACACTGGGGCTTGTTTCCTTGGAACCTCAGGACTCAGCAGCCCTTCGCAGCATCAAAGATTTGTCATGTCCACTTTGGGGTTGACCTGAGATGGCGGGGCCCCAAACTGCCGTCCTGTATCTGCCTCTTCTCCCCAGACTCCTCCTGGGGTACCCTTCTCAGCACCTATAGCATCTGTGAGCTTGGAACCACCCTCTCCTTAAGGCAACTGAGGGTCCGACTATGGACACGCCTGACTGGGGAAACCACCTGGCCCCTGACCCCCAGCAGTCTGGTCACCCGCTATGAAGAGAGAGCCCAGCGGTCCCCAGGAAGCCTCTGACTCTTCCAGCACTCTATCTGACATTGTTCGTTGCTGTTCATGAGGCTTTCAGTGGCTAAACATTCTGAAATGAGTTGTCTCTCCTTCTTCCTAGTCTGTCTTGGTCTGGAAACTCAGCTGAAACCTGTCCACATGGGTGACCCTGCTAGTATTTAAAATACCGGTGACATAGCTCCCAGCATCACAACAACATGCAAGCCACCACAGTACGACAAACTGACTAAATAAACTCTTTTCTGCCTCCTTATTTCCTGCGGCTAGATTGGCTTTGCTTTGCATCAGGTATGACCCCAGTTTTGGGTGACTCAGCCCCAGGCCCCAGCATCTCCAACTACAGCAGATTACCCCATGGGATTGCACCTAGTTTTGGTCTATTCTCTCTGCTAGAGCCAGAACTAGGAGTCCCAGCCTGGACCCTCTCTGCCCTCACCTCTCAGTTCCTCAGTTCCCAGGTCTCAGGAATGAGCCCTGCCCCTCTGGTTGGGCCATTATTCACAGGACAAGTTAGCCTCCTCTGGGACCCTTGAGAGCCTTTGTTTTCCTGTCTGTAAAGTGGGAGACCAGATAATATAGCAAGATTGAAAATACCATAGTTGGGGTCAGGCACATCTAAAGACTAAAATGACATCTTTGCTTTGTAACACTTTAAAAAGAGGTCTTTTCAGGGAAGGCAATATACAACAAGAAGGAGGTTGGCAGAGAACGCAGGGAGGAGTGCAAGAGTTAAAGTGAACAGAAGTAAATACCATAAACTGTCTGTCAGTTTGTCGTACTGTGGTGGCTTATGTGTTGCTGTGATTCTGGAAACTATGCCACTGGTATTTTAAATAGCAGCAGGGTCACCCATGGTGGACAGGTTTCAGCTGAACTTCCAGATGAAGACAGACTAGGAAGAAGGAGAGACAGACTACTTCCAAATATTTAGTCACTGAAAACCTTAGGAATAGCAGAGAAACAATTCACAACAGAAAGGTGTTTTGTTTGTTTGTTTGTTTTTTAATAAAGAAGTCTTTTGCAATGTGTTTCATCTCTTGACTGCTGCTTCCAAGGGTGTTGATTATGGATCCCAGTAAAATGAATCTGTTTGCAGCTTCAGTCTTTTCTCCACTGATCATTATTATGCTTGTTGGTCCAGTTGTGAGGATCTTGATTTTCTTTGCGTTGAGTTGTAATCTATACTGCTGTCTTTGATCTTTATCAGTAAGTGCTCTGAGTCTCACATCATAGCAAATACAAGCCACTACAGTAAGACAGACAGACAAGGGGGTTCGAGTGTTTTTTAAGCTTTGTCCAGAGTTGATGATCTGCTATGGAGGAGTTTGTCCCATCGCTGTGGTCTGGTGTCCCAGGGAGAAGGCCTGGCACACTGCGGTGTCTTTCGCCTCTGTCCCTCTTAGTCTGAGTGGCTTCTCCTCCTGGCTACCTCTTGAGCTTCATCCTGTTCCTGTCAACCCTCAGCTGCCTCTCAGAAAGTTCCAGCAATTGTTTTCTGTCTCCAAATGAAGTCAATAAGCAGAGACCTGCCCAGATCAAGGGCCTCTACAAAGATCCTCCTGGGGCCCAGGCACCCTCACCCTCTGAGGAAGTGGGGGTGCGGGGGGGGGGGGACTAGTTGGGGTGGAGCACACCCACTCCTCCCAGTTGGAGTTCTAGGGGCCCCACCCCCACCCCAGCCCTGGTACTTAGGGGAATCCCTCCTTGAGCCAGCAGTTTGCTGCTGGGAGAAGGGGCATTCCCTAGAGGGGATCCTGGTCAAAGGCCTCTTCCTGAAGGGACATAGCCAGGTTCAGGAAGCAATATCTGTGTCTCCATCAGCAGCTTCTAAAGGTCACTTGCTGCTTCTTTACACAAAGTCCAGGCCTCCCTTTGGGGCTCCTGGTCACTGAAGCCCTGGTGGGTTCCTGCAGAGGCTTCCTACTCTATGCACTGCCTGCATGTCTGCCCATCATAGCCCTTCCTGCCTCTGCCCCAAACCAGATCCTTCCCTGTTCAGCCAATACTTGAGGCCCCACCTCCCTTCATCCTTACTACAGTTCCTCTCCCTCTCCACTTCAACCATCAAGGGGGCCCCTCCACCCTCTCCCCTCGCAGCCTGACAGCCTCCCCCACTTCCTCACTTCCCTCCCCTCCCTCTCCTGAACATTTGGCTGGGGAAGCACACAGAAATACAGGGAAGGCCTGAGTTGTGGGCACTCCCACACACCCCCGGTCCCAGTCCCAGGACAGGCCTGGTCTCTGGATTTCTGTGGAGAACAAGAATGCTATTGTGGGTCAGTGTGGGGTGGGTTCCTCTCCAGGCTGAAAATCCTGACCCAATCATCTGGGCCTGAGGTTTGAAATGGAAGTTACTGTCCAAAAGGGGGTTGGGGGTGGGGAAGAAGAGGGAGGTAGCAGTCCCCTGACTGCATCTGAAAGGCTGCCTGAGGAGCATTTGGTTTCACCTAAGCTGCTCACTTAATGATTTGGTCTTTGAAAAGGATTCCCCGTTAGTAAGTGAGGAGTGGGCATCTGGTTTCAATGAACGTGTATGAGCATGTGCACATATTCTCAGGCCCCCTTACACCGTGGCACAGGGTCACCCCACTCACCAGCTCACACTTTCTCAGACCCCCACGACCAGCCAGGCTCTTTGGCAGCTTCAACATGATGGGAAGGCCCCCACGCCCTTCCTGCTACAGTCTGCACCCCATAGCTCCCACACAGTGTTCCAGTCACCTCTTGGTACTGGGGGTGGATAGGATTGGAGATTACCAGCAGATGGGGACCCTGGGGAAGAGGGTCACAGGATTGCAGGCCCAAACACCAGGCCCCTCAAGTGCCGACCATCCTGGGAGTTAACATAGAGGTGAGAAATCCCAGCCTGGTTAAGGAGCGAAGGTGATGTCCCACGATGGATTTGGTACAGTGGGACAAAGTCCAGGACTATTCTTGCACTTTATTTTTATTTGTGATGATAGTCTATACATTTGCCAGCACAACATCCACGTTTACAATGAAGTGATACTTTTCTTCTTGTACCAGCATCATGACCCTCATCTCAAACATCTCACCAGCAGGTTTGCCTACTGCACAAATTTGGAACCAGGGCTGCTGGGGTGAGCCCAGCTGGTGGGTGGGGCAGGGAGGATGGCAGCCAGGTGGAAGGCCAGGGGACCTCTGTCCAGAGTCCTTCTGGTCCTGGGGTTCAGACGGGAAGTGGGGGGAGTCTGGCTATGCTGGGGATTCAACTGGCCTGGAGAGTCCCTCCTGGTCTGAGGGAGAGGGGTGTCCAGCTCATGCCGTGTCCGGTGGCTTGGGCTCTGCGTCCCATCTGCAGAGCAGTCACACCAGCGAAGTAGAGCGTGTACCGTTTCCCATGCCGCCGCCCTCTTCCCCAGAGGCCTTGGAAACCCCTCTAGCATTTCCAGGCGCCAGTCGGCAGAGCGCCTGGCGCACCTTTTCCCGGAATTCGGCCGACACGTAATAGTAGACGAAGGGGTCCACGCAGCTGTTGAGGGTGCTGAGCGCCAGGCTGGGCAGGTAGACGGCGTAGAGATCGCCCCAAGCGTTCGGCCCGGGATCCGAGTAGTGCAGTAGCAGCAGCACATTGCTGGGTACAAAGAAGGCCAAGGCCGAGGCCAGCACTAGGGCCGCCAGGCGCAGCGCGTGGCTGTAGCGCCGGCCGCTGGTGGCCAGGGCGCGCAGCATGGCTCCGTAGCACAGCGTCAGGGCTAGCAGCGGCGCGAAGCAGCCAAGCAGCGCCAGGCAGGCGAAGGCGGGCCGCCAGTGGGAGACCTGCTCGCCTAGCGGTAGCGCGTCATGACACAACAGGCGGTCGGCGCTGGCACCCGCCAGCCAGAAGGTCTGTCGCTGCAGCGCAAGGGGCAGCGCCAGCGCGGCAGCCGCCAGCCAGGCGGCGACACAGAGCCCGGTGGCTAGTCCCTGGCCGCGCAGGGCTCGCGCGCGCAGCGGGTGCACCACGGCCAGGTAGCGGTCCAGGGCGACAGCCGCTAGTAGCAGCAGAGAGCCGTACATATGACCGTAGAGTGCGGCCGTGTCCAGGCGGCAGGCGACCTCGCCGAAGGGCCAGCGCTGACCGCGCAGGTGGTAGACGATGCGCGGCGGCAGTGCCAGGCCCAGCAGTAGGTCAGCGGCCGCCAGGTTCATAAGCAGCAGTGTGGAGGGCAGGCGAGGCACCCGCGTGGCCAGCACCCACAGCGCCAACCCATTGGCTGGCAGTCCAACCACCAAAGCCAGTGCATAGAGCGTGGGCACCAGGCGTGTGGGCACCCAGCCCAGCAACAGTGTCTGTGAGCTGTTAGGAAGTAGCAGGGTGTAGCTGTTGTTGACACAGAGGTGGCCTGGAAAGCTGCGTGGATTGAACAGGGACCAGACTGTGCCCTGTACTGGTGGCAACCAGGACCCCCCCAGCGCCGGGCCTGTCAGGAGGGAAGGAGAGCAGTCAGCGTCTAGGGAACAGATCCCAGCATCTGGTTCTACTGTCTCCTTCCCTGATGTCTGCGCTTAGTGTGTACCCTCCATCTGTCCTAAACATCAGCCCTGACCCCTCCACAGCCTCTGGTACCATCCCAGGACCCCTGGCTGCCCTCCTGCTGTTCCCCTCATGTTCACTTCCAGTTACTCCCTGGTCCCTGTGTCCCCCAGGCCCTTGAGCTACTCTTTTGTGTCCCCCCACCCCAGATCTCTCGTCACACCCTGTGTCTGCCCTAGGTCCCTCAGCTGCTCCCTGATGTCCCCCTTGTGTCTACCTCTAGTGACTTGCAATTAACTGCTCACCTCATTTCCCCTGCTCATTTGCCTCTTGTATCTGACGGGAGGAGCCAGCCCCCAAGGGAATTGTAGTCCAGGCCCCAGCTGCCTCCGCCCTCCCTCCCACAGGCTCAGGGTTGGGGTGGGCGATAGGGCTGAGGGGCCACCCAATCTACCTCTGCCCCCTTGGTCTCTCTCTGCATCCCTCACTCACCATCAGTCCCGCCTGCACTCCCTTCCTCGGGGGTCTCGTCGTAGATGCTGGGGGTGCGGGTGCTGCCAGTGGGGTTGAGCCCCAGCGCCAGGGCTCCGAGCAGCAGGAGCCCCCACATGTCCCTGTTGATGGGCTCAGCAGACCTCCACCCCAGCTTCCTGCCCCCGTCCTGAAGAGTGCCGGCTGGGAGATAAACCAGGAAGACCCCTTCCTGTCCCCTGCCCTGATCCTACCTGAGGTCACTCATGAAGCCAGCAAGATGTGGGGAGGCTACCCTGGGCTGTCCCCTTACTGCCCAACCCTCCCCCAGCCAGGAAGCATCTGTGGTTCAAGTGGTATCTTCCTGCTAGTCCCGGTTTTCCTGACATCATGGCTTGCCAGGCCCACCCCCGCATCAGGGGCTCTTCCTGAAGTCTCTCCTCTCTCTACCTTCCAGGCTGGAGGTCACTGAGAGGAGGGACACCCACAGTACTTGCCCCTCATGGGGGCCTCATTCCTACCCAGCATTACCCTATGGGCAGGGGAGAAAGGGCTTGTCAAGCGTGGCAGCACCTGGTAAGTCTGGTGAAGAGAGAGAGAGTGAAGCGGTGTCGGGTCCTTTGCCACAGTCTGCAACCTTGACCATGTACTTACTGCCCTAGGCTCTGAGGGGTTCCGGGCTCTTGAAGCCCTTGTCCCAGTCCCACCCTCAGCTCTAGTCCATGTGGTAATAGGGGTTGCTTACAGACAGACCCCAGCCCCAGTGAGGACCTTCCTTCTCCAGTTCCTCTACATTCATCACTTAGAGTCCTCCTACCCTGGTGGCCAGGCCTCTGTGGGAACATAAACATGCTGCTGAAGAAATGGAGGCTTCCAGGGTAGGCCCACAACCATCCCTGCTACCCTGGGAGAGCCCTGTATTCAGGGCTGGACCATAGGAGAGGACTGAGGGCAGGAGGGTTCAGCCTGTGGTAATGAGGTTCTGAGGTCAGAAGGAGCCATTTCCTGTGAAGGCTGTCCTAATCTAGTTACAGACACAGGATGTGGAGAGCAGCCAGGAAGTGATAAAGCAAAGGCCCATGCAGCATCCAGTTTGGTGGTTGCTCACTTTGGTCCAGGAGGTACTAGGAAGCCCCTGACCCTAGCTTCTGGGAAAAATGGAGGCCAGAGAGGTCCTTGGACCCAGGGGAGCCTTTGCACCCAACCAAAGATGCCAGGACTGAGATTCCCCGCCACAGGTGGTGACGGAAGCCCAGGTCCCCACTTTCTGACGCAGAGGTGCCAGGTCTGGGAATTTATCCTGGACATCCTCGGGAAGATGTTTGTACAGGACATTTCTGCAGCACAAAGCAGTGTACCAGTACCCTCTTGGGGGATGACACGGTGCCAGGCACAGCAGGGGAAGCACAGAGAAAATGAGACCATGGGATCTCACTTGGGTGACTTGCAGTGTCCAGGTCCCCTCACCGACCCTCAGGACAATGGATGTGGGATGAGGCTGCCTGAGAGGGGGTTTCTGAGCCCGGGGATACTGTCCCTGTGAGCACCTTAGGGATTCTATTCTCTCAGTTCCCAAGACCAGTCAAAGATCAAGGTGTGGGCATCTTCAGGCTCCCTCCAGAGGCTCCCCGGGAGGATCTTCCCTTGTCTCTTCCAGCTGCTGGTGGTACCAGGCTTTCTGGACTATGGCTGCCTCGCTCCAGTCTCTGCCTCCGTCTTCACATGGTCTTCTTCTCCCTGCCTGTATCTCTCCATCAAATGTCCCTCTTCCTATAAAGACACCAATCATTGGATTTAGGGCCCACCCACCTCCAGTCGACTGCATCTTGACTTGATTACAATGACAAAGACCCTATTTCCAAATAACGTCATGTTCACAGGTTGTGGATTACGACGTAAGCACATCTTTTTGGGGACATAATTCAAGCCATAACACTGCTCCATAAAAACTTACTACAAAAAACAAAACACAGATCTCCAGAGATGGGAAATTCCCACTTGAAAGGACAAGCAGACCAACCTGGAGTGGCTAGAAGAACAGAAGATACTTCTTGAAAGAAAGACCTACAGGAAAAATACAAAACAACATAGGCAGACTGACTGTTACTACAAGAACAAGCAACTTGCTTGCCCAGGAAACATCAAGGCAAGTGGTCGGGTCTCCTCAGTGCAAACCCCCTTCTAAGACTATGGGAATACACGCTGTGATTGGTGACCACACTTGACACCGGTAAGGGGAAGTGAGGGAAAAACAGCAAAAGAAGCAATGAGCTAAGCCCTACAACATTCAATAGACTTCTGTGAACCCGGGTGAAGACCTGGTTGTCCAGCAGTGTGGCAAGACCTGGGGACCCTTGGGCCCAGAGTCAGTGACATAGCCACAGAGGACTAGAGTGGAGAGTGAAGCGTCCAGCTGATAAGAAGACAGGGCATATGCATAAGAACACCCACACTTGCAGATATTACCCACTTATCCTGGCTTCAGTGACTGGATGATCAGAGCTCAACCAGAAGTAAAAAGAAGAGGGGAAAAAAAAAAAAGTATTCTCATACAATTTGATGAACTTGACCTACACCTATGGAAGCAGTAGCTCAAAAGAGGGAACAAGTCCTTACAGCAAGAATCATTCCCACACCCTCCACACACAGAGTAGACAGGGATGGGCAACTTGGACATTGGCTACCCAAAATGGGGGGTGGGGGACTACAAAGGCAAGAAGTGACTGGCTTACAAGCTTTCAAGAGGGAACCTAGATCCAGAGGGCCTGGAGGAAGGTAGAATCTCCAGTGAGTAATATTCAATCTGACTAGGCGGGGCTGATGCAATGAAATGCAGACGGGTCTCTTGTGATACAATAGTGAATAATTGTTATCAGGACTGTTTGTGAGGGTTGGAAATGTAAAGGTGGATGTTTTATAGCAAGGAGGGGAGTGATTAACTTTTCAGTCTAGGAGCAGAGGTCCCTAGGACCATTAAGGGAGAAGAGCAGAGAAGCAGTGTTGCCTGAAATGGAGCCAGAGATGATGACATGGAGCGATGGAGCAGCCAGAGACTGTGTTGAAGACCTGGGGAGTAGGGGGAAGGATTGCATGGAGGGGATTGTAACCATGGCAATGAGACGATATGTAAAACTAATGTTTTCCCATGTAAACTATCACATAATTCACAATAAAACATTTAAGAAAAAAAAAATACAGGCTAACACACGAGTTTATAATTTTGTCTTGGATTACCATGTTTCCCATTCTCACCTGGCCACTCCCTTTCCGTCCTCCCCCCCACCCCCCACCAGCCTCTCAGATCTGCAAACACGGCTGCCTGCAGGGCTCTTCCCTGGACGGCCCCTCTGAAAAGTTCTCCAGTCTCCCTGAGGGTCGTTGTAAAAACTACTCCTTCCATTCTTTGCTGTAGTTGAAGCTGGATGCGTTTCTTCAACGTATGGCTGCTGCGCATTCGGCTGGGCGCCGCTAGGGGTGAGTCAGGGGACTTTAGATCTGAGCGGGTCGGGTCACTCCTGGACCATCAGAGAGGAAGGGCATGACCCCGTTACAGTGGGACTGGGGAATAGCTCCTGGTCACCTGAGGTCTGGCTTATAGAGTGCTCCTTTCTGGATTTTGTGTGCCCCTCAAATCCTAGGGCTCAGGATTCTCTCAAATCCTTGGCTTCCCTGCTGGCTGGGACTCCAAACCTGGTGGCCGTGAATACCACCAGGTCCACCATGGGACCCACCTCCTCCCTTGGCCTCCTAAGAGTTGTGTGCTCCTGGTCCTACACACCTGGTTCTACTTACCTATGGCTCCAGAGCTCATCTGTGTGCCAGGAATTTGTGCTAGGCCCAAGTCGGGGGCTCCTGAATGGTCCTCAGCCCTGGGGTCACAGAACGTGAAGCGTTTGGGCCTGAGACCTGGCACTACCTACCCATGAGGCAGGTTGGAAGGGAAGATGGTAGCGGCAGGGTAAATGGCTGGCCTGGGCTTCTCTTCCTTCATTGCTGCCTAAGGAACCCCATGGGGCAGTTCTACGCTGACCCACATACAGTCAGCGCCAGTCAGAGCCGACTCAGCAACTACAGGCTGTTGTTCTTGGTGGGTGCAGATGGGAAAGCCTGGAGATGACTTCCCCAAACTCAGGCACTGAAAAGCCTATGGAGCAGTTCTTCTGACGCACAGGTTCAGCATGGGGAGGAGTCGACTTTGTAGCTGGTAGTATGAATTTCCACAAGCTTAGTGGCATCTCTTGTCACTTTGAAGTTTCCATGGTCAGGACTACAGGCAAGGCTGAGCTGGCTCTACTGCTTAGGGTGCCTGCTCATCAGGCTCTGGGAGCTGGAGCTGCAGTCAACCCATCAGCAGACTCAGGTCCCTTCCAGGGGGTGGGGGACTCAAGAGGCCCTGTTTGTTTCCATGCCTGGGACGGAATGCACTTGTTTGTACAGTGAGGATTTTTGTTTTCTTTACATTGAAGTATAATCCATACTGAAGGCTATAATCTTTAATCTTCATCAGTATTTCAAGTTGTCTTTGCTTCCAGCAAGCAATGTTGTTTTATATATACATATATATATATGTATATATGTACATAAAATACAGTTTTATTTTCTTCATAAAATAGTTTCTCTGATTATTCACTCAGCATACAGACTGAATAAATTTGGTGACAGGTCCTGCAGACTAGAGAGTCATGTTTTTTGGGCCCCCTATCCCATCCTTGGGACGTGGGAGTCTGCAGGACACATGGGCCCTGACACTTCATGGGAGGTAAGGCGCTGCTGTCTGCACTGGTGATTCAAGGCGGGAGGGAATGGGGACAGCCCTGAGCTCGTCACCAGACCACCCTTTGGACTGGCAGGCAGATGCTGTCAGGATAAGAGTGGGCATATGGGGTGTCGGGGTCCCTTGGCAGTGGACAGGGCGGTCTGTACAGCAGTTGGCAGTAGAAGAGGGGGCACAGGGGATGCTGTATTCAACTGAGACAGGATCAGAGGCAGTGTAGGGTACCTCTTCCTGGAGCCAGGTGGCCTGGGGGAGGGAGAGAGGGTGGCCTCAGGAAAGGGAACCATTCTCACCTCACTGTTCAGGGGTATGAGGCTTGGGGGCTGTTGTGTTCCCAACCTGTTGTATTCCCTTGCAGAAAATGA